ATTTAGAATGAAAAGTGAAAAAAAAAAGAAAACTAGCAAACTCTAGACTACAATTCTGCAACATTGGATTAAATATCCTTTAATTTTTCTTTTTAAAGTGTCAGAGGCTTCACACATTCCCATGAGGTGGTGCTGCCTTCTCTGTAAGATCACCATTTTTATGGTAAAGATTTCATAACATAGAAATGCAGTTATCAACTCCGACGTTAGGAATACCCTGACCCAGATTTTTTCCAAATTAACTTGCCAGAAAATTGGTTACAGGCTGTTCTGTAGATTAATTTAAGGCCGGGGCTGTTTTTCCATTCTGGGAAAGAGTGATGTTGCTGCCTTTCCATGTGCAGAGCCCAGGGCAGCTGTGGGCTCTGGGACAGGTGCCGTGGCCAGGGGCCAAGTACACAGATGGGGGTGTCTTGTGTTCAGACCTTCTTCACGTGTGGTTTTTAATCCCCCTCTGTCCTTCCCTTTAGGGAATCTTGTGTGATGATCGTGTTCTGGCATCAGCTCTTTGGAGAAACCTTTTTAACAGGAACTGTGATGACCCTCGGCACCTGGAGCTGCTCGTGGAGTACGTGCGCAAACAGGTACAGCCCTGCTCTCCTCAGCCTCTGCTTCAGGAGTGCTTGCTTTTATTGCTTGCTTGTGCAGCTCACTTCTCATAAATAAATCTGATTTTAATATTCTGTGATCATTTTTAAGGAAAAAAAAGGAAAAATATGAAACTTGGATTATACTTATTATAGAGTCTAGGAATGTCCTGAGCTGGATGGGAGTCTCAAGAGTCATCCAGCCCAGCCCCATCCCTGCACAGACCCCCCAACAGCCCCACCTGGGCACCCCTGGCAGCGCTGTCCCAACGCTCCTGGAGCTCTGGCAGCCTCGGGGCCGTGCCCATCCCCTGGGGAGCCTGGGCAGTGCCAGCACCTCTGGGGAAGAGCCTTTCCCTGATCTCAGCCTGAGCCTCCCCTGACACAGCTCCAGCCATTCCCTGGGTCCTGTCCCTGGTCACCAGAGAGATCAGATCATTACTGCAGTTTGATGACAAATGGCTGCAGAGAAATTAATAGAATATTGAAAGCAATCTGCTCACCTGGTTCTAGAGTTGTGCTATGGAGTGGTGGCTTGACAAAATGTGCCAGAAACAGGCTGCAACTTGTTGTAGAATTGTTATGCATGTTAGAGAGTTGGGGTTCTCCTCATAGCAAAATAGCATATAGAAAGTCTCTTGGTGACCTTTGAGGAAATGAAACAAACAGATTTGTTTCCCAGAATTATTTCTGATTCTTTCAGTTATTACCTGGAGGAGACAACACTGAATAGTGTTTGTCCTCTCAGCCCCAAGGAGGTTTGTGAACCAGATCACTACGAAATGTTGGTGGAATAAAGTCTGTGTGGGCACCAAAGAAAAGGGGTGAGAGAGGTTATGGAGTAAAAGTGAAGAGTGTTGGACAGGAAATTGAAGACCAGAACTTTCACAGCATCATTCTCTGTAATGTTTCCAATACCATATTCAGGATCAGATAGAGGTATGGAGAGACAGTATTTAAGTGTGTGTCTGAGAAAATGGGAAATAAAGGGCTGAGCTTCCTAAGGGGCTGAGGACACTTTGGGAATGCCAGAGAGTTCTTGGGAGGGACTGGCTTAATTAAATGCTGAGATTGATAATGTTCAATGGTGAAGCTGTAGGAAAGTTTGCTGGGGACAAACAGATATAAAAAGTATGTAATTTGGGATAATTTCTTGCCAGATGGGGAATTTGTTGCACGCACTACCCTTAAACAAAGGGTAGGTCAGAAGTAATCAGCAGTTGAATAGGAAAGAGTGATCAGGCAGGAAAACAGGCACACTGGGGAGGAATGAGGTTCTGTGTAGACAAGTGGTGCACTTGAGGAAAACAGTCCCAGCTTTACACAGGTACCAATGAGCTCTGAATTGTTACCACATAGGAATGAGGCCTTGAGATTACAGTTCTGTTATAAAAATGTCACCTCAGCACTCCATAGTGTTTAAAAAAATGTAAAACAAATCCTCAGAACTACTAGGGAATAAATAGAGGATAAAATATTGCTGTGGTGCCATTTTACATGTCTGGTACCATTGCGAGCTGGAATAATGTGTCTGGGTGCTGACCACCAGAACAGATAAAACGTTACTGAAGAAGGCTCAGAGAGGAGCACTAAGGGTGACAGTGAAACTGCTCCTTTATTAGCAATGAGTAGAGTCCCTTGCCCAAAAAAGAATGGGAGAAAAAATGGGAGACATCTCTGGGAAGTCCTGAAGGCATGTGAAAGGGGAGCAAGGAAGGGCATTCAGGAACACAGGAATGTGGGGACAGAACATTGCCATAGTTGATTGGGATGCTACAATTGCACGCGGGTTCCAGAGCCACTGGCAAGATTTATGGCAGAAAAGTTTGCCCAGGGCTATTAAATCCACAGCCACTTCAGACTCAAAATCTGTGAATGAACAGATTTTGAGAGGGAGGGAAAAGGAGCAAGGAAAAGAGCACTGTGTGCTGCCTGGGGAGGCTGCTGGTGGTGACTGTCAGGAACAGGACATTGTGCTTAGGTGGCTTTCCAGTGTGACCCTCTGTGGCCATCGGTGCATTCCTTCTCCTGTTGAGAAACTCCTTGTCCAATTATTCTTTGTTTCTAGTAACATTGTGTACCAGGTTGTCCCCACAGTTTCTTGTGGATCCTGTCTTTAACAGTGGCTATTAGTGGGTGCCAGGGGAGATCATACTGACAGGACAACATGTCCTGTGTCCCTGGTCAGCTCTCCCAGACTTCCTGAGCTAATGGTGGTGGGTTTGTCTTTGACTCATCCTTGAATGAGCTTCTTCTTTTTTTTTTTTTTTCCCATTTCCTATATCTAGGGTGACCAGTGGCAGCAAGTTGACCCTCTGCTATATGATGAGAGGGGATTTTTTTTAAATTTTGCTTACATTACACCTTAAAATTACATTAGATCCCAGAGAGGTTGTGGATGTCCCATCCCTGGAAGTGTTCCAGACCAAGCTGGACAGGGCTTGGAGCACCCTGGGATAGTGGAAGGTGTCCCTGTCCATGGCAGGGGGTGTGGCTGGATGGGCTTTAAGGTCCCTTCCAACACAAACTTTTCAGGGACTTCTTCTGTTGTGAGGATGAGCGTTCATTGCATGTTCACCTCTTCCAGCTCATGTGCTTTTATGTGATAAATCCCAGGTGTTCCCTGCTATCAGGCCATTTTTCTGTAGCTGAAGCCTCGCTTGTGTGCAGGATGGGAGCTCTCCGTGGGGTTCTGGTCCGGGCAGTGTTCCCTGCAGTAACCACCAGGAGGATGAAGTGACTCACGGCAGCTTTGTGGCTCCTCTTTGCCCTCTTGCCAAACCTTCAGAGGAGGCATAAGTGACGCAGGTGACTCCAGAGGATCTGCAGATCCTTATCCTGGCCTTCCCATGACACTTGGCAGTTGGAAGCAACCTTTTCAGGTCCACCTCACACAAATGGCAGAGTAGGCTGAAATCTCCCAGTTGTGCTTGCTTTTTGGAAGGACGGGTGTTTGTGCAGCTGCTGAGGGAGCTGCCTGGGCGATGGGGCACGTGGCAGTGACTTGCTGTGCTTGCAGGTGCAGCACCTGGATGCGCTGAGCGGGGAGGACCTGCTGCTCACAGGCGAGGTGAGCTGGCGGCCGCTGGTGGAGAGCAACGCCCGCAGCATCCTCAAGCCCCTGTCCCCCGTTTACAACGACGAAGGACTCTGAGATCCACGTGCCAGAACAGCTTGGAAAGCATGCCTGCAGTGGGACTGGGCTGAGGCTGTGTGGTTGGGAAGAACAGTTTGCTGTTGGAAGGAAAACATTTCATTAGTTTTTCCATCCATGGTGCCTCGGTAGCCTCCTGGGCAGCCATACTCCCAAATCTTCACCTGCAAATAAATGCTCATTGTTTTAAGAACCTCTGTCCTTTTTATGGACCCTTGCTGACAAATGGACAGAGCTGCCTTCTGCCTTTAGGAAACCAGGTATTCACCATGACGTAGAGTTCTCTCAGAAAGACATTTCTGTCCCTTGCCTTGTTTAAAGAGCTGCTACACAGAGACACAGTGGTGTGCTCTGCTCCCTGAATGGTTGTGAATGTGAGTCTAAGCTTTGCATATTTAGATATTAAGTATATATTTTAAATGCCTGATACCAAGATGGAATAGTCCATCTTTGCTTTAGTGGAGTTAAGAATTGCTTTAATGCATTCTGAAGGGTTTTCTGTGAAAATCCCTTTTAGGAACTCTCTGCTTTGTTGCACAAGGATAAGAGTTTGTAAAGAATAATGCACAGTCCTCAGCAATCCTCTGTGACTTTGGCTTTCTTAGGGAGATTAAAGCCCCAGTTGTGGCTGGGCTGGCACTAAAGGCTGCCCCAGAATTTGATGTTCAGTCTGCCTTGCTGATACTTCCACATTCTTTGTAGAATTGTGCTCTAGGAATTCCTTTATGAAAAGAACATCCCTGTTGTGTCCCTGGGACAGGACTGCCATCCTCGTCCCCCAAAGCAGCAGTCAAGGGCGTTTTAACAAGATCCTTCAACACCAGTGAAAACTATCCATGGCTGTGCAGGCAAGTGGTGCCAACACAGTAATTAGGGGAGCAGGAGCTGCACTAATGAGATCAGCAGAGGTGCTCTGTGTGGGTGGATGGTTCACCAGGCTGTTTCCAGGTCAGTGGCAAAAAGAGTTTCATTTCTCTCCTGTCCAAAACCTGAGTCAACAATAAATGTCAGTGTGGGTTAAATTGCTGTGTGTTTGTTTTCTATGCCACCTGTGCTTGTGATAAGAATAAGCCCTATAAAATCAGGACTTATTCCTAATAAAAGTATTAAGCAAAATTTGTGAATTTAATCCTTAATTTGTGCATTTAATCCTTAATTTGTGACTCCTTAGTCTGGTGAAAGTGAAACTGTGCCTGGTTGTGACTATTCTTCCTTCTCAAGTTGCTTTCTTTGTGAGTGTGTGTGTTGGGGAATATTTGCGATCCCTTCCTCATGCAAAAGGCAGTGGGATGCAGCATAGAAGCTCCCAAACACTGGCTTTTGGGAGTTTTTTTTAATCTTCTTTCAGGGAGCCTTCTGTGTATAAAAAGTTATTTTGGTTTTTTTTTTCCAGAATGAGCTTCCTCAGTTTAACTTCCTATAAAATGAGGCATGTAAAGAGCCCCTCTCTCTGTGTGAGGTGTATCCCTTCTCTGTGAAAACATTACAGCCCAAACAACTTGCTCGCAGTTTATTTAAGATGCTTTTGTTGAAAGCTGAGCTAAGCAGAGAAACCTCTTATGTGTGAAGTATTATACAGTGTGTGTGAGATAATAACACTTTGTAATTCATTACAGCTGGCTTGTATTTACATAAAAGAAGGCTGAGCTGTGTAGGAATTTGCTGATTAATTTATTTTTAATGAGAGTGAAGTATACCAAGTACCAAAATAAACTTTACTTTGTGTATCTTACTGCTCCTGAAATAGGTGGAAAAATTAATGGTAGATATTTTGGCTCGAAGCTACATACATTAATTCATATACAAAACAGTTATTTAAACTTTAACCCCTTTCCTGCTGTGTAATTTAAGCCTGAGCTCATGTTCTCCATGCCATGGGAGCACGGGGCTGGGAGCACAGCACCATCCAGCCCGGGGAGGCTGGAGAGCTGCTGGAATTCTTGGGCTGGCTGGCCTGGAGGGGAGAGCACCCTTGTGCTCTGAATGTGGGACAGCATGGGGTCACACTGAACCCTCCCCTGTGTTTATGGGCAGGAGGCTCCACAGGCGATGGTGCCGGGTTGGAGTCATTGGCATCTGCCCTTGCACCTTTTATTAGGATGAGGATAAAGGCCTGTAATCACAGCTCTGGCTGGGCCATGAAATGCCTTCACCCACCCGCTGTCAGGGCTGAGCCAGCAGTGGGGCGTGCTTGGGTGTGTGGGGCCTGGTGAAAAAACAAGGCAGATACTGTCTCTGAATTAAAAGGGTAATTTGTTAGAGAGGCAAAATCCACTGGAGGCTACACAGGACCAGGGGAGACTTTGCTTCCCAGTCATTAGTTACCCAGAGACAGGATCCTACAGTATTAGATTGGATATCAGGAGGAAGTACTTCCCTGTGGGGGTGGGAGGGCCCTGGCACAGGTGCCCAGAGAAGCTGTGGCTGCCCCTGGATCCCTGGAAATGTCCAAGGCCAGGTTGGATGGGGCTTGGAGCAGCCTGGGATAGTGGAAAGTGTCCATTCCCATGGCAGGGGGTGGGATGAGATGAATTTCAAAGTTCCTTCCAACCCAAACCATTCTGGGATTTTAATGAGACCCCTGTTGCTCTCAAGAGGTGAAGAAAGGTGACCTGGAAAGCTGCCATTGCCAGTATCTTATATAAGACATCTCTCCAGCCAGAAGGAAAGAAAATACATTCCCAGTAGCAAGATCTGCTCTCTGCAAGTGTTCCAGCAGCAGAGATTGGCAGGTGAGTGATTCCTGTGCACAGCATTGCTTCAAGGACAGCAGAACAGAGGGGGTTTAACCAAACATTTTAAACCCCATCTTTTCCTATTTTCAAAGTTTTCCAGAGGGAATAATTTAAATACTTATGGACAGTTCTTTGTTTATGCTGTTTGGTTTTTAGAAAGTGGTCTCAGACCATCAGCTTAGAGGCACTTACTGTATTTAAATGAACATATCCATGTAAATTTCTTATGGAAGGAGCCACTTTATCATCCAGCCTGATCTCCTGTCTCATATACAGGATTTGGACATCACTTAGGATTCCAAAGGACTTACTCTTACAACTTTTCCAGGTATCTTAAAATGAAGAGACACAAGCCCCTAGGAAGCATTCATGATTTCAGCTGGATCCCAGGTTACTCTCTGTGAGTAGAAGGATCAGCACTCAACTGCCTTCCTTCTCTTCTGTTTTGCACCATGAGAGAGTGGGAGCATGTTTTGCCTCTCAGGGTCAAACTTGGGAAGTCTTGCTTTAGGCTGGTATTTTTGAGATGTTTCAGAGTTATGGGGAGTCATCTGATACTCTTCAATGCCCACTCTCTATTTTAGATGGTTAAATGTTTTCCTCTGTCACCTTGGCTGCTGTGCTCACACCACCTTTGGGTGTGAACTGTTTTCTCCTGTATCTTCAAAGTGCTGCAGTGCTGAGAGCATAGGCATCCTTGATGATCTCTGCATTTCCTGTGCTAGCCAGTGTTTAAGTGCAGTTGTCACTTCCCAGATTTGTGCCTCCTGTCCTCACCTTGCACAAGGTGATGTTTTCAGTCATGTCTCTGCCCCACCAAGCCCTAGGTCAGAACTGCTGCTCCTGACCTGGCAGTCAGAATTAACCACTGTCCTGTCTCCCTGCCTGTGCCTCAGCAAATGTGGGAAGCAGAAACTGGACACTAAGAATAAGAACCAGAGCTGTAAATGAGATTAATGTAGGTGAAGAGTAGCAAAGCTGTGGAGGGGTGAGCATCATCTGGGAGGGGACTGGTTGTGCAAGCTTGGTCTCTGTGAAATGTGCCACTGCCACTGCCTGGCACCACTCTGAGGAGCAGTGGGAGCCATGCCCTGCCCTGTGACCCTGTGACCCACTCATATTCTCCACATTCACCTACTTGTTGGAAAATGGTTTAACCCTGGTGGTTGTCTGCATCCCAGGGATGTGCTGAAGTACTGCTTGAGCATTTGGAGAGGTTTGCTGACCCCTCTCCAGGGGCGCTGAATGAGGCATTGAGCTCCAAAGCTGCACTGGGTGCTTCCTTCCAGGAAGAGAAAAGTCCCAGTGTAGGGAATTGTAAGTGTTTAAGTTAATCCATACCTAGAACTGCTGTGTCATCCTACTTCTGCTAAGAGAGCTGTGCCACAAATGCAGTGGTTGTTTCAGGCCCCAGTGTGGGGTTTGGTCATGGCCACAGCCTTGGACGCGACCATTTTTCTTGGGTGATGCTGGTGGCAGCTAATTTGGAATCACAGAATAATAGAATATCCTGACCTGGAAGGGACCCATCATGATCACTGAGTCCAGCTCCTGGCTGTGCACAGGGCCCCAAGAATCCCACCCTGTGCCTGAGAGCATTGTCCAGGTTTCCTAGTGGAGACCTCCCTGTATGGGCTCCTCCCCTCCCCATCTGCCTCTTCACGTCTACCCTGCTTTGTCTGATCGCTGTTGTCTCCTTCATTAATGAACTCTAATCAAGGCTTCTTTGCTCTTTTCTCTGCAAGAGGCTGTGATGAACCTGTGTCCTGTCCTTCCCACTGACCTGCACTGTGTCCAGCTCTCCCAGGCTGAATGACACCCGTCCCAGCTCTCTGGGTGACAGTGTTACTGTGCCACAGGGAAAAGGATCTCCATCTTTGGGCACATTGTGTCTGCCCAACCTGGCCCTCAGCATGCTCCATGTTCTCCTGAAGGTCTGAGAAGGCAAGGAGTGGGCAGGAGCTTACATGAGAGCCTGGGAAAGTTGGCAAGGACATAGGAAAGACCCTGAGGCTCAGTGCGAGTGATCAGTGGGCTCTGCTGCTTACACGGTGCCCGGCCCTCCTCTGCCTACAGAGGGACTGTCACCTGTGGGTGCTGTGGGCTGCCTGGCCTACTGCATCCTGATGGGGCAGTTGCATATTAACAATCCTGTGATCCTTCCCAGACTCACCTGGTGAGGGCTTTTTTTGACCACTGCCCCTTCTCCAGGCACTCAGGGCTGCCCTGTGCATCCTATGTGTGTTCGTCCTGAAGTTGCTGAACATGTTGAGGGAGTACTTGTTTTGCTTACAGTCATTCAACCTGCTGGGCCACTTGCTCTGCTCATTTGTGGGACAGAATAGATGGCTGGGCCTCATCCTTCCACTGGGAATGCAGAGCTCCCATGAGAGTGATTCCACCTTCTGCTGTTACTTCTCAGTGGCTGTTCCAGGTGGGATATGCTGGGAGCAGCCAGGGAGTTCAGGTCAAGTGGCAATAGATCTGCGAGGGGACCTGGGGCAGGTTAGTGGAAACACTCTGAGACACTGCCTTGAATTTTTTAAATCTTTTAGAGAACCTTCTGTGTATAACAAAGGTATTTTGGTTTTGGTTTTGTTTTTTTTTCCAAGGCAAACTTCCTCAGGTTAACTAGTCATGTAAAAAGCATCAGTAACCAGCAACATCTGCTCTCCTGTTGTTGTCTCGTGCAAGTGTGTTCATGTGGGAGGACACTCCACAAGCTGCTGAGCCTGGATCCTCTTGGGAGCTGCTGCAGCTCTTCCAGAGGTGAGAGTTCCCTCATGCTCGCTGTAGAAGTGAGGAGTCCTGTACACTCAAAACCTTCATTAATGACTACATCACAATGAGCTGGGCTCCTTCCTGCCTCATCCCACCTGCCAGCTCTTGGGCTGTTCCACATCCTGTCAAAACCAGGCATCTTAGGCAGATTTACTCAATGTCCCACATCCTTCCCTGTGCACCCTCTTCCTGCTGGTAGCCAGACTCAGTGATGTTACAACACCCAGTTCTGGATTCCCTTTGGAAGGAGACACAGAAGGGGTGTCTGGAAGTGCTTTTCCCCATGTTCAGTACAGGGCAGCAGCTGAAAGAAGCAGCACACTGTGGTCCTTGTCCTGCCAGCTGTGCATCAGCCCCCTGAGCAGCTCAGGGCTGCACTCAGGGCCAGCACAGCAGCTCCATGGACTCACCTTGGCTTCCCTGCATGGCACAGGGGTGGTAGAGACCTTGGAGCTGCAAGGGGTGGGACAGAACCTCTGTGCTGTGCACACCACTGGGCAGGGGCAGCAGAGGTGGGGGGTCCCTGCCTCTCCTGACATCCTTTGTGGTTGGATCATTTGGCCTGTGGCTGGCAGTTGGTGTCCAATGCCCTCCTTCAGCTGTGCAGGTATGAGGCTGCCTCTCCCCTGATTTGAGATGTCTTAAAAAATGAATTATAAGGATGAAACATGGAATTTGTGTGCTGCCACTGTGCTTAGATTCTGTAACACAATGGTTGGGAATCTTGGACAAAAAATGGGGAGATTTGACTTTGCTCTGTGGATTCAGTGCTGACAGAGCTCAGTGCAGGAGCTAAAATCGGGACTTTTCTCATCCAGCTGTGGTGTCTGAGTGCATCTGGCAGTGAATTCTGCAGTGGAGCACTGTGGTGCAGTGCCTTCCAGAAATGCTGGTACAGCACTGAGGAGCACCCTGATGTTTCAAGATGGAAGATTGGGTTTCAGTCTCTGGGTTTCAGAGGGGGGAAGAAAGCAAATCTGGCTTCTCGTGTTCCCGGGTGAGTGTTTCCCAGATCTATCAGGAAACAGCCTGGCAGGCTGCATCCCATGGGTGCATGAAGAGGAAGAAGCAGGTACATTCTGTGGAGAGCCCAGGCAAGGTGTTTGTGTTTGCTGAGCTCCAAAAACATCTGCAGGATGGAAGAATAAAGTATTGCCTAATGCTTGGCTGAGCTCAGTTATCAGCCAGAGCAGAGCTGCCCAAGGACATTGACTTGGAAGTGGCACTTGGGATGTGTGTTCAGCCAGAGGGAATTTTCCCCTTGTCTGTTGATTGCAGAAGGTGTGTAGACAAGACTTCCAGGTAAGATCCCTGCTTTTAGCTGGCAAAAATGGGCTGATGAGATTCCCACATCCTGTGTTGGCCAATCAGCCTCTGGAGTGCCAGTTAGAGCCCTCTTGCCAGACAGCAGGAACAGGTCACCTCTCATCTAATTTTAGAAGTCTGTGTGGTAAACCTCTGTCACTGACTCGGGCAGCCCGAGCTCCAGCTGTCAGTGGGGGGAGATAAGAGCTTCCCAGGCACATTTCATCCAACCTGTTCCAAGTGTCTGCTGCAGGGTGAGGTAACTGACTCCTGGAAGTCTCTGCCTCTCCCCATCAACCCCGAAGGAGCCCAGCTTGACAAGCTGGACTGGAGATGTTTACATCGTGTGTGCTTTCATGTGCTGAGGACCATGAGAAATTACCAGAGGAGAGCAGATCATTACCAAACAGTGCAAATCCCTTTACAAATCCCCTTTACAGAATCAGCAGCAGAAAATATGTATTTGATTAATTTTTTTAAAATTCACACTCTTTTCAGCTCTTTAGGAAGGCAAAAAGCAGGGTGATGGTACACTGTTACCACCCTGCAAAGCAGCTCCAGAAAAACACCCACCACATTACAGCTCCTTCCCTTTGTTACTTCCCCAAACTTCCTTACACTGCATTGGCTGTTCACTTCATAAATTATTCTTTAAGCTGTTCTAATGTTTACTTTCACCTGTAACACTTCTGTGCCAGCAGCTTTGTTACCGTTTTGTCCCATCCATACTTTGCCCTTGCTACTGCATCACAGCCAAATGGCAGCCAACTTCTGTTTTCTGATTCAATCAGTGCAATGTTCTTGCCATTTGCAGTCCTGCTGAGGCTTCATCCAGACTTCAGGCATCCAGAGACTAGACAGCTAATCCAAACTAATCATCCCACTCATCTGTAGTCCGTGGAGAGTGACAGTCTTTCGGGAACATGATTCATCCCAGCTGACTTAGAGCCTGGTGTCTGGATGTGCTGGTTCACACTCAGGCATGGCCATCCCTACTCCATTGACTATTGCCCCATGATTATTCCAGGGCACACATTTAGCTTTTACATTACTTAATTTAATTGAATCTCAGGGGATTTTGTAGATAAAAGGCCAATTGATTACATCAACTCTCCAGCCAGTTTTCCATTCCCTGGTTGCCTGTGTGGTGTTCAGTAGCTCCAGGGTGAGCTGATCTCTGCTCCTCTGCAGTTCTTCACACGTTGTGTTCTGTGGTGTGTTCCTACACAGTGCCTTAATTCACATAGCAATGTCTGCCTGTACTGTTCCTCCAAAAATGACTCCATTATGCTTTTGGGAAGCTGGAATTAAATAATCCTCAATGAGCAGCATGTGGCAGTATCATCAGTCACACAGCACCAGACTCCTAAGGCTGAACGTCCTTGAAGGATTTCCAGGGAGATGCTAAATGAGCATGTGAAATATTGCTCTTCTTGCCTGCAGCATCTAATGACCAAGATTCCTGCTGTGATTCTGACAAACACCATAACTCTGTGTGTCAAGAAATCGACTGTTCTGGCTTCTCTGCCAGGTGCTGGTGTAGCAGAGCCAGGCTCCCAAGAAATGCTAAGGAGGAGCATTATCTGTGGCTCAGGGATGAGTAAGTTTCTCTGCCGAGTCTGATTATCCACTTGGGATATTTGTGTTTCGTTATAACTGACACTAAGCAGCGTGTTTGATTTGGAACAAATTTCAGGCAGGAACAAGTTCCAGCATCTGCATTTCTACTGCGAGCACAGTGAGGGACAAAACAGGTTAGAACCTGCTAGGCCAAGGGTGGGGACCTCTCTAGGGATGGGAAGGGAAGGGGAGAACAGTACATTAATCAGTTACAAGGAAAAGGAAGGAGCAGCTTGAAGAGCTGATATTCTTCCCCTTGCAAAAGGGACACCAGGTGCCCGGTACCAGGTGCGTGTCTGGGGCAGCCGGGTGAGGGAGCTGGGGAAAGCTGGCTCCTCCCCCGGAGTGCGAGGCTGTACCTGGTGATTAAGGATTTGAGCTTATGCTGAGTCCTGAAGGAACCTGTTGGGTGGAGCTCAGGAGTGCAGGAGGGGCAGAAAAGACGTGAAGACAGACACAGGACAAATCCAGCAGGAGAGACACCTCTCGGCATCAGCAGTTCCAGTCATGTTCAACTACCTAGCAGTGGAGGTGAGGCCCCAGCTCCCCCGCAGCTATGGCAGCCAGCAAGGGGTGTCTGGGCCACTGAAGAGCCGCCTGGAGCAGCTGAAGAAGCCGTGGTGGAGGGAGCCCACCCCGCTGGTGCTCCAGCACAGCGAGACAGCCAGGCTGGCCATCGACGCCTTTCTCGAGCAGGGGGAGCGGGGCTACCTGAGCGCCATCACCGAGGAGAGGGAGCTGCCGTTCCTGTCCACCTTGGACATGGAGTACATCAGCCGTCAGAGGAACCAAAGCTTCCCAGACCCCAGTGCAATGAAAGACAAAGAAGCTGACCCTGGTGATGCAGACACTGGAGACAGGTTCTCCCTCAACTCGGAACTAACATCGGGCACCTACTTCCCCCTCATGTCTGACGTGCACCCTCCGGAGCTGGAGCTGGGATGGCCAGGGACGCCTCTCCTCACGGTGTCTGGCCAGACTCAGGCCACTGTGATTTTCCAAAGAAACAAAACGAACAGCATTAAGGATTTGGTCCGGTCTCTGATCAGCCGGGCACGGACGGTACGTACAGAGCTGTGTCCCTCGAGGGGAGCCTTGTGCCACAGTGCCCGGGGCTGGTGGCTGCTCCCACACCTGTAACCACACGCTCCATGCTGTCACTGCTCTCTACATGTCTGGCATGATGTGATTGCTTTTTCTGCAGCAGACCTGTAGCTGCTCCTGCTCTTTTCCTTTCTTGTCATTTCTTTCTGCCTGGGATTTCATGTCATCCAGGCAGTGCCCCTGCAGGCTCTCTGTATCCATATCTGCAGGGGTGCAGAGCAGTCCCAGAGCCCAGTGGGGTCTGTGGCAAGGCCTGCAGTGTCCCTGGCTCTGTGTCACAGCCATCCCTCCTCCCTCTGCATGGCCGGGGCTCTTCTCCAGCCCTGGATATCATTTTAAGCTGGACAAGACAATACCACTGGTGAGCTGCAGACACAGAGAAAATCTCAGAATGGTTTGTGTTGGAAGGAACCTTAAGGACCATCTCATTCCATGCCCTGCCCTGGGCAGGGACACCTTCCACTAGCCCAGGTTGCTCCAAGCCCTGTCCAAACTGTCCTTGGACACTACTAGGGATGGGGCAGCTTCTCTGGGCAACCTGGGCCAGGACCTCACCACATATAACCTGAGTAAATTTGTGGCACTGAAAATCCCTGCCAGTGGTTTGAATTAAGTTAGAATCCTGTCTCCTAGGTTTGATGTCTGTGCCTCCCCAGGGATGAGTAAGATCAGCCCATTTTGCCCCATTGCAGTTTCTGGTGTGTTATTACAACCCTCGGATGCAATAAAAACTGGATGATTACAGTGCCTGCCTACCAAGCACAATGCTGGCTTGAATTTATTCATTCAGTTATGCAGCTTGTTGTTTCTTTCGCTTTGCCACTGTACTCTGTGTGAAAGCAGCAGCTCAGAAACTATCTCAGACACATTTTCAGCTTTTTGTCGTCTTCATGGTTCTTTTCAGCTGTTTCACATCAATCTTCTTTTGTAGTATTTGTGTTGAGATATTGAGGAAACTTGTAGAGCAAAGTTCATTTTAACCAGTCAGTTTCTGGCAGTTTCCCTTATCACTCCAGTAATTTCCTATTTAACTTCAGTCACTCCTTACATTCATTGTTGTTTGTGTAAAAGCTGGAGATAAGGAATCACCTGGATCACTGCAGCTCAAGTGTGATCTTCTATAACCCTCAGCAGAGCGGAGCAAATAATTTATGTGTTCCCAGCAGCTCAGATTGCTGCAGAGCATTAAAACACCTTTAAAGAGCCACATATCAGTGAAGTTTGGGTGTGATATGAGGTGAATGGGGATCTTTTTTCTTTTGCCCAAAGGACCATTTTGCCACACAAGCTGCTGCTCAGTTGTAAGCGGCCCTTGCTTAATGCCTGAACTTCCACTGCATCTTATAGGCAGTTACAGGAAGTTTTGGTCCAGGAAATAAGTGGCAAAAAGCTTTGTTTGTCCTTGCAGGCAGCTGATTTATGGTAGTTTAAATGATCTGAAAAGTTCTGTGATACTGACCTTATCCTTGTCAGCAATGGGGATTAAGGCACAGTCATGGTAGAATGCACAGAGTAAATTACTACCAAGAAGTGTCTTCCCATCACTCAGCACGTGTCCCGGATCCTCAGTGATATTATGATCCTTTAAGCCACAGGAAAAACATCTTGCTGCTTTCTCAGTTCACAGGAACTTCTCAGTTGCTGCGGGCAAGTTGCCTGGGCAGTGGCTGCTTTATTGTGCTTTCAGTACATTCTGAGCTTTTTGCTTTCTTTGCTTGGGTTGACAAAGCCCTGACAATCTTCTGCTCTTCATGTTTGAGTTGGGGGTTTTCCACAGTGTTTTTTACTGTTGTGTGAAATGTGAGAATGAGTTTTTAAGTATCTTACTGATTTATTACTGGTATTCTACCGGCTTCTGGGTTAGCAGCTCTGGCCAGTGCTTCCCATGATTGATGGCAATTCTAGCTCATTCACAACCCCAGTTATACATATTTAAGTATTTACTGAGTCATTTTGCTTAACAAACCATCCAAAAGAATGTTACTTATGTGTCTTAATGACAAAAGGAAAACCAGAGGTAAAAACTTCCTTTGCTTGAAGTGCTATATGAACCATTTGAAGAACCACCTGGTGTTTCGGTTTGCAGCTGCTGTTTCTACATTTCCAGTATTTTTGCCACTAGTCTTTTAGCTGTTGTCATCAATCCCTCTTTTAGAGAGTTTCTCCTCCCATGGGGGATACAGTGCTGGTGTGATGTGGGAAAGATGTTGAGAACCCCAACTGCTTTTCCCAGGTCCTGTAGACAGGGAGGTGTGTGTCTTGAAAGGCTGTTTGCTTCTTCCTGGTAGACTCACACAGAACAACATCAGCTGACATCTCTTGCAACAGCATATTTGTGCTGACAAATTAGCAAAAGGAGCATTTGCTTCATAGGTATCTTTTGCTGTGAGGTTGGTCTTTCGCCTTTGCTGTGTTTAACCAGCTCTCTTTGAAGACAGATGTTCAGATTTGAGCTTTTCTCTTTGCAGACATAAGAAGATGCAGCACAGCCACACCTTTGCCTTCATTTGATAATACTGTTAAAATTTTGCCCTTGCTGGATGAGCTTCAATCTGGTTTGAACTGTCCGTGCTGCTTCTTTCACCCCTCTTGTGCCCCTTGGACTCTGGCTGTACACTTGTGTCTGTGCCTGGTGGGAGAGGGTCCCTGATGGTCCCCAGGGAAGCAAGAGATCAAATGGCACCAGTGCAGTAATGACCCAAACCACACTGCTATTGGCAAATACCAGTAAAACCAGCTGTGCTGGTTAGAAACCAGACAGATGGCAAACCCCAGTGGGGATCTGGTAAGTGCTGTAATTTCTAAAGTGATGACTCCAGTAATTGCTGAATTGTGAGTTTCCAGAAGTGGGTTTGGAAATGTCATGGTTTAACCCTACAATAGCAAGGTGTGAATTTTTTTAAAGCCTGTGGGGCAGCTGTGTCTCTGACATCCTGACCTGCCAAGGCCAAGCCATGGTCTCAGAGGTCATGATGGGCATGGTGAGGAGCAGGGATAACCCAAGCCAGCCTTACAGCCCCACACCACTGAAACAGAGGCGCTGGAGACACTGACACAGGTTTAGGTTTGTATGGCCACATTGACTTGATTGATTTAAAATGTGAGACATGAGCTGAGTTGGGAGCCTGAATTGCAGATGGTACTTGGATACTCAACTCCCACTGTTTTAGGGGGTTTGAGGGGAAAAAACTTCCAGGGTCTTCTTCCCCCAAAATTTCTTGGCTTTGGGGTTGATCTGATGTTATTATAAGAGCTGCCTGCTTTGATTTCCAAAAGGATCTGCTAATCTCAGTGCCCTTATGGATACCAACTTGGTATCCATATAAAGAGCAGCCCCACATGGGCATCTTCCCCTGTAGGGAGGGCACAGCCTCTCCTCTGTCCCCCCTGCAGCACACGCTGGGTCTGTCCTTGTGCCCAGCACCGGCTGTGCTGTGAAGGAAGGCGTGAGCAGAGCTGCAGCCTGCTCCACCTCCTGTCCAAGCCCAGACCCGCTTTGGAAAGCCTGAGTGTGACTGTCAGGGCTCCACCCAGCTTGCAAAAGCTGGCCCTGCTGCCTGGGGCTCTCGCTGATGCCGCATCCTGGCACCTGCATCCAGCCTGGGCATCACTGCCACGGTGACTCTGTGCCATGTGCTGCTGCCCGCTCAGCCCCATCCCTCTCACGCTGAGCACTGAGGCACTGGCAGTGCTGCTCTGGGGCAAGGATCAACCTGAATTGTGGCAACCAGCCCTGCCAAAGCCTGCAAGCACTGGTAGAGGAAAGCAAGTAGTGTGGACCTCCTGTGCACATTGGGTCCAGGCCTTGCCCCTCAGCATGTGGGATCTGGGGACAAAGGAGCTTCTGTCTTCCTTAACTCCATCACACTAACTTCCCAAGCAGACAGACTACCCCAGGACATACCTGCCTCAAACCTAAGCTTGAGATGAGCTTGAATATCATGAGGCGAAGTTGGCTGAGAGGGACTTGCTGGAGGCTTTACACAAGGTCTGGGCCATCGTGTTTTCACGGTGCTTCATCATCAGAGGATGTGTGACCCGTTAAAGAATTTGGCTAACTTGCAGTTGGCCTTTGCCTGGAGGACAGTGTGGAGAGATGTGGCAAAGTCCTTTTATACTTTGGGTCTCCGTGGTACCTTGTGCTGATAGACCAGCAGTAACGTTAATCTGGGAAGTTGAAGATGCTTCTCAGTGCTAGCAGAGCTCCTCCAGGGCTGACTCTGCTCTCCACGAGAGACGGGCATATTTCAAGAGGGGAGAAGTTTGCCAAACCCTTCTAAGGCTTCTGGGAAGACAGCACTGGCAAGGGCTACAGAAGAGGTGCCTTTTGGAGTCAGGTTCTAGAGCCTCTATCTCCTGGGGCCCGGGTGAGAGGATTGACATGTGGTTTTGGCCTGGATGGCAGGAATGATTTTTAGCTCTTGACAGCTGCCTTGTGTCCCACATGGATGTCTGGGATCACACCATCCTCTGGGAAGATTCTTCCCCAAACCCTGCTGTGGTGAGCTGGGCCTGGGGCCTCCTGCAAGATGTTGAGGACCAATGACAGTATGTTGGGCATCATCACAGAGATGGGTTTTGGGGACAAAACAGAGCCCACGATATCTTGTCCATCTGCAAAAGGGCTCAATCCCCAAGGGAGCAGAAATCAGCCTCCTGGCATTGTTGTCCTCTCCACTGTGGCTCTGTGCAAAGGTCTCTCCCTGGCCTGTACAGGCTGAGTGCAGCCAGCTCCCCGAGCAGAAGACAGAGCTGGCGAGCACGGGGAAGGTCAGGGACCCTGTGCTGCCCATGACTGCTCTGAGGCCATGAGTGCGAGCTGGAAAGAGGCAATTTATTAATGAAAACAGAGCAGAGGAGCTACTGGGCAGTGAACAATCTGGGTCAGTGTGGCAGTCTGGAGCACAAATCCAAGGACACTTAAACTTGGAGCTCCTCTCCTCTTTTCTGAAGCTATTCCTGACCAGCCCCATGCCATGATTGCAATTTCCCTTGTTCCTATTTAAGTTTGAATCACTGCACAATGTAAAAGCTGACCTCACAGCCATCCTCTGCATTTAACTCTTGGTTTGAAGAGGAGCAGGTGAACAGCAGTGGCAGAGGAAGGCTCAGCCTGCAGGGGTGAGATCCACCGGGTGATTTGGGCTATGGAGAGTTGCATTTGTGGCCATGCACATAACACAGGCTCCCTCCTCGTGGGGCCGTGATGGCAGCAGGACTGACTGGGCTTTCTGTGTCAGGTGTGGTGCAGGGCATGAACACTGAGAAGCAGAATAGGCTATTGAAGCTCCACTCAATTTAGTGGGTTTTGAATCATCTTTATTTGGGCATTCTCTGGCAGGTACAGAAACACAAATAAGGGTTATACACCCAACTTACAAGCACCAGTTACCTTATTCACTATGATATGGTAAAGACTGGGACTAAAGTACTTGGGCAGTAGTTCCACTATTTTTTTTCGGCTTTTGAAAAGAAATTTGGCTGATGGTAAATCCTCCCCTACCCTTTTCCATCCTGTGATGTGTTCCCAATCATGAGGTGCTTTGCACCCTCAGATGCAGTGACAAATTATCCTGCTCAGCAAGTGCTCTCCTGTCTGTTCCTTCCTTCTCCAAGGTGTCCCCCTGACCCTGACAGTGACAGCCAGCAGATGATCCCAACAGTCACTTCCTCATCCAAATATCGGCTCCCTCAGTGTTGTCTGCTGGAAACTTCATTCCGTGAGGACCAGAGCAACAGGGTCTCCAATCCCATCTGAATCTATTTATGGCTGATTTCCCTTGATGCATTGTTCTTGTTGCAGGTCATTTGAATTGTCTGGTCCCGGGCCAACTCACTTGTAGTAGCTGCTTGTCATGACTTACCTTCTGTTTTCTGTGTTTTCGTTCCAGTTTTTGGAGAATTCGTGTAGCCATGACATTCTGCTGCCTCCCACTCCATCTCCAGTGCAATGGCTTGCCATGTTTTTTTTCAACCTCATTCTTTAAAGAACTGGCATTTCTCTTTAAAATTCTTTTCCTATTTAAAACCCCTTCCTTGAAGACCTTATCTTTATTGAGATACATACATGTTTATTTTTTAATAATCTTAGCGTTATTCCTTCTTCCTCTTGTCGGGTTTCATGCCCATCACTTGCATCCCTGGCTGCATGAGCAGGAGTTCTGCCAGCAGGGAAAGGGAAGGGATCCTTTCCACACACATTATTCTCTGATTTTGTCTAGGCTATTGGAGGTTCACTCAAATTTAGTGGGTTTTGAGTCATCTTTATTTGGGCATTCTCTGGCAGGTGCAGAAACACAAATCAGGGTTATACACCCAAATTAAGAGCACCAGTTACCTTATTCACTATGAACAGGATCTAATCTTCACTAGGATCTAATCATGAAACAAGGATTTGCAATTTATCATAATACCTTCTCCCTCCTCAGTGTGTCCATCCTGAAAAAATTAGTACTTTTTCATATTAATCTGCCAGTCATGTAGAGTCAATCTTGCTGATTGAACAATGATTTTGCTCAGTCTCAGCTCTTGTTTATATGCTTTATTCTTGGCATATTTTCTTAAGGTAACACATAATTGTTGCACCAGTGAAATTCAGAGTTTGTGCATGTGTTACCCTTTCAGCTATTCCTGTCTGCAAGTAGCAGATGAGACAGGAGGTACCCAGGTGGGGATTGCCTTCAAACTTATTAAAATTTGATTTTAGCTGCCACAGCGGGGTAAGGGCTGTTAAACACAAAAGTCCAGAATCGTATCCATTCAGGTGGCCACGGGGTCTCAGTAACTCAGAGGTTTGAATAGTTTAAAGCACATAGTTTAAAGCACAGTTCACTTGGGCATGAGATTTCAACATTCTCTTGTGTTTCTTTCCCCCCCACACACCTCTTTTCTCCTGGCCAGGTGATAGCAATTGTGATGGATCTGTTTACAGACATGGAAATCCTGTGTGACCTGCTGGAGGCCTCAAGCAGACGGCACATCCCCGTTTACCTGATCCTGGATGAAGAGTACTTGAAGCATTTTGTGGAAATGTGCAATAAAATGGCTCTTACTCAGGACAGCTTCCCAGTAAGTTTTCAGTCACACACTGGATATGATAAACAGGTCTTGGAACTGATAAAAACAATGTACCCTGTGTTCTGTTCCCCCTGCCTGGTCCCTAGGACTCATCCCTTCTCCCCAGAATCTATCCCTTCTCTCCCTGTCCCAGGCTAAGGAACCAAGGCTGTTTGCTCTAGGAAATTGAGATCTGTCTGGAAGCACAGAGGAAGGCATGCAGGAGCCTACTAGTCCCATGTATTGATGTTTTGTGCTCCTCATTTCAGTTTTCCATGCAGGGAGTGTGAAGCTGGGGCCAGTGGGGGATGCAGTGAGTTGCTGAACACTTTGCTGGGCTGATGAAGAGGGAAGCCTGGAAATTTAGTTCATGTGAACCTCATCTGAACATTGCAAGGGAAGGAACACAATCCCTGCTCTAGGACACAGAATTGCAAGACTTAAATTGCTCATAGTTCAGATCCCTGAGCTCAGTGATTTAAATTCTGCCCAGAGCTGCTACAGGGTATAAGTTGGGAGGGCAAGGGAAGAAGTGAGTCCCCTCAGATGTCCTGATGCAAACCCCATCACTTCCTTCTGCTGAACCCACAGGTTAAAAATCTCATGTTAAGATCTGCTTTAGGCTTTGCAATTCAGTCGTGGGTCCATGATTTGGATTTATGAAAAACCCAATTCCTGCTCAGTAGGTGCCCATCACTCAGCATGTGGTGCCCAGAGCAGATAAACAGTAAAAATGAATGTGATAGTGTCATAAGTTCTCTTGGGAACTTGCAGATTCAGAGATGCACCCCAGTATCCTGCTGATCCCCATTTCTACCTATTAATGGAAGTTGGTTTTTTTGTTGTCATTTGTTATTCCTGTAAGGCCAGCAGTGCTGGCTGTGCTTCTTCCCTAGGTGTGCAGGATTCCCTGGAGCACTGACTCCTCCACTCCAGCCACCAGTTTCATGGGTTTTCCATTCATTTTTGTGGTGAGCACTTGGAAATTTTACAGGTAGCTCAAAAGGGACAATGTAAAAATAATAAAATGTCTTAATTTCCCCTAATTTTTAACCTGTCTACAGAAGGGTTAATTTACAGACGCCTCTTTAGAGAAGCACTCAGTCCTCTGGTCCAGTTGAAAAGGTTGGACTTGATGACCTTGAATGTATTTCCAACCTAAATGATTCTGTGATTCTGCCACTGTGCTGGAGAAGCTCTGTCCTGTCTTGCTTCTCACAAGCCAGACCCATTTCATCCTCACTCTTGAGATGGCAGCTCCTGGAAAACTGCTCCGTGCTGGAGCAGGTTTACTTCCATAAATAGCTTCCACACTGAAGTGACCTGGTGCATTCAGATGAATTCCATCTCTCCAAAATATATTTTATTGCTTCTTGTCCAAGAGGTGGCCATTTTTAAAATTAAAATTAGAATGAGTTTATATCTGTGGAGATGTCTATGTCTCTTTGTTATGCCTGATGTCATGTCATGTGCTTGAGTGGGTAATTAACACTTGCCTCCCCATTCCATGACTCACTAGCAGCTCTCCATCTGAAGTGTCTCTTACACTGATGCACCTGTGCAGTCCATCACCTGCAGGCTGAATACACATCTCTGTGGAATGAGGGTACATATTTTATTCCTGCCTCCAAGTTGTGACAGGATGTGGCAGTAAATCTCCATTTCGAATCATTGGTGACAATTTGGGCTTGAATGGGGAATTTGGGGTAATTGCTCCTCCAGCATGTTCTGAAAACAACATGTGAGTCTGCTGGTGGCAAATTCCAGTGCTGAGCATCAGAAAATCCTGTGTGGAGCATTGGCAGCAGAGAGAGCAGAAGCCTTCACTTGGAGTTTTCAACATCTCTCTGCTGAACCTGGAGCTACGTTTGGATGGAGCAAGAGTAGTACCAGGGTGTCTTTACTGCAAGACTACAGGATTCTCATCTTGTTGGGATTATTCAGGGTCTGGATTGACAAGAGGAAGAAGATGATGATGAAAATGAACCAGATATCAGAAACTCACCCAGCCTTGGAAAGGATAAAGGGAGTGGTGACAAATTTATGGAATTTACCTGAAGTTGTTTTAATTTCCCCGGGAAGGAGGTTTGAGGGGAGGAAGCTGCTCACAGTGAAAACCAGTATTACTAGAACTTCACCAGTGGAAGAAAAAATCCCTGTGTTGACTGGCCACAGGATAAGGTGAAGATCTCACCAAGTATCCAGTGTTATCTTGGTCTGAATCAGCAACTTGTGGTGTAATTTCAGAGGATCAGAGGTTAATGCAAGTTGGCAGGGACCTTAGGATGTCATCAAGCCCAGCCTCCCACTCAAAACAGTGTCCACTGTTAGGTCACTTACCTGGTCTCATCTGGCAGATCTCCAAGTGAGGAGACAACACAGTCTCTCTGGGCAAATTGTTCCAATGCACAACTGTCATTATGGGGAAAAGGTTCCTCCCTTCTCATACATGGCAGATGAGGATATGTTCTGGGACATGAAAAGCCAGCAAGTGAAAGCCACGGTGTCAAAATTCTGATGCTTCAGCTCTGTACTAGCTAGAAGTTTCCATGAACACAAGAGAAGACTGGACCAGCACTTGGAGAAGAGATCATGGTGGGCTGCCTACTGAGACAAGGCACAAGAAGCTCAGGAAAATCCCTCGAGCAGAAAACAGGGTCCGCAGCAATATTAGGGGCAGCATCATAAATGATTGCCTCTCCCTGCTGTCCCCAGCTGCCATTGCCAATGCAGGAGAGAGCCTGGACAGGTCTGGCCAGGAGCAGATTTGCTGCTGCTGCTGCTGTGCAGCCCTGGAGGGTGGTGGTGCTCCTGGGTGCTCGTCCCTTGCCTGTGCCCGGCCAGAAATCCGCTGAGTGGCAGAGGGGCAGTGCCACATTCCCTGAGCACCAGCTCTGCCAGGAGCAAATGGCCCCGTGCTGAACCAGCTGCTGGAGGGCTTTGGCTGTGGCTGGGCTGATGCTCGGCAGGAATGAGCTGCCAACAGAGGGTCTGCCTGGTCAGGCTCAGGTGGTGACAGCTCCTGCTGTCCCACAGGTGCCACAGGTACCAGGGGAGCTGGCCTGGAGGGCAGGAAGGGATGACCTGGCAGCCCCAGGAGGTGTAGCCTTAGGGATGTTTATTTACATGCTAGATGTTTTGTTTGGCACTCTATCACACAGAGCAGGTCAGTAACAGTTTCCAGTGACTGTTCTGCTCTTCTGCCTTCCTCACCTGAGGGGCAAATAACTTTTATTACAGGCAAATGCCTTGCATTATGAAAGAGGCTCCCAATGGATACCAAGAGCTATATTCCCCAGTTTATTCTGGGCAGTTGGTTTTACAAGTCAACGTTGTATCAGAGAAGTATTTGCAGTGGAGCATCAGGTCTGCTTCAATTGAGTATAGCAGCTGAACATGTTAATATAATTTTAAAATGTACTGATAAAAGGAATTCCTTAAAATGTAGATATTTCTCTCTCTAAGTCTTTTTTCATTGGGTGATGTTTTAATTTTAAGCCTGTAACTGTATAAAATCAGAGCAGCACACTCTATTGATTAGAATCTAGCTAGTTGTTATGCATCAAAATTTACTTAATGCAGAGACATCAGCTAGTTGGATATCATTAATATTGGAATATTAATGATATTGATTATTATTAATAATCTGGAAGAAATTGGATAGTTTTACATACATCAGAAATGATCCATAGGCTCATAGGATTCTTCAAAGATTTTTTTCAAACTAGAATTTGCATTCAAGTGCAACTTGTTAATTTTTGCTGGTTTTTATCCTGTAGAAGCAGGCAGTGTGACAAAATATTTGGTATGGAGGAACTAAGAAATGCTTAATGCCTTGCTGAGTTCTACCTCTCAGTGCAGAGCATGAGCTCGAGGGAGTCCAGCAGTGGTGCACAAGGGAACATCTCAGTTCAGCTCAGTACATGGCCCCTTACCAACTCTCCTGCTTTGGTTTCAGAACATGCGCATAAGATGCCTGAGTGGAGACACGTACTACAGCAAAGCAGGCAAGAAATTTGCAGGCCAGGTTCTGGAGAAGTTTGTCCTGGTTGATTGTGACCAAGTCCTTGCTGGTACATACAGGTAAGAAAATACAGAAACTACTGTGGCAGAGACTGGTGACACTGAGGAAATATTTCTTACCAAAATACTGAATAATGTAACTCCAGGTGCTGCATGCTGGTTCAACAGCTACCCAGCATTCACTTCAGTCAGTGCTTTCACAGTTTTCCAAGCCTCCATCTTATTCACCCTCCCTGCCCTTTTCTTACCTGAAGAGCTCAAACTTTTTAGAAGTCTCTCCTCATACAGTGGCTGCTGCATCCCTCAGCCTTTTTAATTCTGTTTTTCTGCACCCTCTGTGACCTCACTGCCTCCTTCTTGAGGTGCAGAGACAAGAACTGCATGTGGCCCCCCCGATACACTGCACTGAAGTGTTCAAGAGGGGTAAAAGATGCCCAGACTCTGGTTTGTGATGTGGCCCTTGCTGGTAGGGATAAATACTCACTGCATGTTTTAGTTGCCATGGCACTCTGAGCTGATGGTGTCAGACAACTTCCTGAGCGGTTCCAGGTTCAGCATCATACAGATAATTTCCCCCTATGGATACACAACATTTTCCTTTACTGAAGTTCATCTGCCACATATTTGTCCACTTGCTCAGTGAGATTCCTCTGGATTTGCTCACCTTCAGTGAGGTATCCAACCACCTGAAGGACCTGAGGATCACCTGCAAACTGGGGAATTTCACTGCACCCCCTCCATGCCTGAGGGCATCCATGTGCTAAGTGGTTCCCTCACCAAACTCCAGCGGGTTGATGAGCTGGGCTTGGCTTTGCCCTGTTGTCCTTTTCCAAGAGTCTGTGCTTCTCCATGCTAGCAGGAAGCTGTTCTTCACAGCAAGCTCTGCATACCCCGGGGCAGAGGGCAGTTCCAGGAGTGCGTGGAGAGTACAGAGAGGGCTCTGAACGCCTCAAGCCTGCATTCAGAGCCCTCTCTGTAAGGTGGGATCATATGGGAAACCTCTGGTGGTGCTGATAGAGAGGAGTGAAACACATCACCAGCACAGTGATGGATGTAGGAAGTCCAGTGAGGTTCTCAGCTATGGCCTTGCCATTGCCCTTTTGACACCCAGGCCTCAAATGAACCCACTGATTCCTTGACTGCCAGTACAGATTTGTGAACAACATACAGCCCCAGTCGTCCTGGGCATTTTTGGTCTGGTCCCTTTCAACTCTTTTTGACTGATTGCTGCATTTTTACATAGTTACCTTTCTTGAAACTGAGCCTTGACATGCTGCATTTATTGAGTTTGCTCTCCACTAAAGAATTAAAATTGTGTTGTGATCATTCTTACAAACGGGTTCTTCCACTTCTGCCTCTGGAACCAAGTCTTATGCCCCATTCCAGACCACATCCTGAATCACATCTTTTCTTGTGGGTCAAACAATTTAGACTAGTTAATTCTGGCATGTAATCATTTATTGCTTCCAAAAAGTTTTTCTCCATGGTTCATCCCAGTGAAGCATTAGCCTGTATGTGTACAAATGGATGAAATCTCCCCCTGTTGCTGCCCATCCTAATGTTGCAGCCCCTGTGATCTCAGTTAACATTGTTCCCCACAGTTCTGATCAGAGGCTCAGGACTACTGTTCTTGTCCTGTATTTTTATTACTAGACTCTATTTAGTTACTTTTCTACCTGCAGATCCTTCCCACAGTATTTTCACACTGTTGAACATTAAATTATCCTTCACAAACAGTGCAGCTCATCAGGACAGCCTGCTCTGTGAATTTGTTGTCCTGGTGTCCTGGTTTAGGGCAAATTTGGGAGAAATACTTTTATTCTCCTTCCACCAGATCTCCTCGAACATTGCTCTCCCTCTCCCTTTCTCTCAGTTTCCATCTGTGTGAGCACATGCTGGACCCTGAGGCTACCAGTGTCCTCAGCAGTGCTGTAGCTTCAAGCTGCACCTTCTGCTCTGGTGTTGACTTCATCATCTCCCAAGAGTGGAGGTCTCACCTCATCAAACTCTGGCAAAATGAATGAAAAATGGGAGTACATGGTTGAAACTGCTTGTGTCAAATATCTAAACAACATGGAGAGCAGTGTCTGGTGGCATTTTTACCATACAAAGACATTTTTAAAAAATTGAGTGAATCACTGCTTGGAAACACAGGATGCTAGAATCATAGAATGGGTTAGGTGGGAAAGCCCTTTAAGAGCCTTGAGTCCAACTGTTCCCTCAGCACTGCTGAGCCCACAACCAGCCCATGTCACATATACTTGTCTTTTAAATCCCTCTATCCATCTCCGTTGGCTGCAGGGGCAGGCATTACATAACTCATCAGGAACACTCATTTTTGGATGACTAAATCTGAGCATGTGTCAGCTGGATTGAACTGCACAGCTGGAGGAACATCTGATCTCCCTGTGGCCCAGAGTCAAGGTATTGCTTAAAATGCAGGTGCAGCTCTCTGGGTCAGTTCGTCCCTGTGCTGTTCAGGTCAGGGGCTGGGGGCTGTCATGTGCTCCCTTTCTACAATCTTTGCACAGCTGAAACTTCTGGAATTATGGGAGATGGTATTTCAGTTGAATAGGGTCTTACATCTGATTCTGTGCTGTGCCAGTAAGCACAGGATGTTCTGGACTAACAGAAACAGTGTCTTCTTGAGGATTTTGTTCACTTGTCAGAAACACTTTCACAGCAGAAAATCAGGATGTCTGCTTCTGGTGTAGTGCAACCTGTATAGGAGATATTTAGATTACCATCCCTGCAGATGGAAAGCCAGATGCAAAGGATGAGAAAATTGCTTTACTGAGTAAAACAAAGATCCAGGGTGGAACCAGGGTTGTCTCAGGATGACACAGGGACAAGGGTAAAAGTGTTCTTACCCAGCAGCAGGCTTTACAGTTCAGCAATGCTGTATGCAAGGATCAGAGGTTTCAGAATGCTGGGGGTTTATGTTGTACGTGCTTCTCTATGTTCAGTTTGCTATAGGACACTCCTTCCCACCATGCCTGGCCTCCACGATACCCTCTGGCAATGGGTTATGCAGTTTATGTTTTGTGTGAAGAAGTGGTCTGTGGTGTTTACAGTAGACATACTGCCAGATAATTATATTTAATGTCCCCAAATTCCCACAACCTGGGCACAGGAAATCACTGTTTCCCATTTACTTTCTTGACTGCATCCATGATTTTGTCCTTCTCCATTATAATCCCTCATGTGAACCATCTCTTCTCCAGGTGAAGTATCTTTGGCTTTTCAGTCATTTCTTGTATCCAGAGTTTGAATTTATTGACATTTAATTGTCAATCATTTTGTAACAATTCCTCCCCTTACCATAAGATCCTCTTGCAGCTTCTGTTTATCCAGTTTTCTTTTGATCCACAATAATATTGTCATGAGGTCTGACATGGACAATTTCTACAGTTTTTTAGTACTTTCCTCAACATGATGAGCAGCATGGATCCCAGCACAAGCCTTGTGGGTTTCTGGTGGGTAAATGAAACCCACTGCTAGTGTTTGTGTCTTTAATCAACTGCTACTTGTTGGGAAGACCTTCCTTTGTACGTACTCCATGATCGCTTAATTTTTCTAACAACAAAAATCGTCTTTGCTGAATGACCATGTCAAAATCTCTTTGAAAGTTCAAGTTTGATACATCAAACACATCTGTGTGCTTGCTGCCTCCCTTAAAGATCTGCAAGAGGCTTTTGAGGTATGGCTTCCTTCCATAAAAACATGCTGAGTCTTCAGCATTATGATTATAGCTATTTATGCATCTAATAATTTTACTCCCTATTTGCTTCTACCAGTTTGTTCAGTATGGAAATAGGAGTGGCTGGGTTGTAGTTTTCCAGGAGCTCTTTAAAAGGTTCAGATTTAAAACTTTCCATTCCTCTGCTACTATGTTCAATATTAAATGATAGGTTATTCCCTGGTTTATAATTTGAAAATTGCTGACTTCCAGTTTATGGAGGCGTTTTGCTTTAATATTTTCATTTAATGTACCTTTTAACTATGATGAGATTTTCTGATTATTTAAAATGTCTTTATTTTGATAGGTACATTTTCTCTGAGACTCTAACATAGCATCTTTAAACAATCTTCTTGCCGCCTCAAGCATTTAACCTTTTTGATTGCTCTTTTAAATTTCTTTTTAATAGCATTCTTCACTTTCTCTTTGAAGTTAAGCATTACTGTTGTGGATTATTTTGGTCCTGAAAGAATATTTGATATGGCTAGGTCATGGTTATTTTTTGCTGAGTGGCCTTCCCAAAGAAACTCTATGAACTGGTAGTGTTATTTCTCCTTTTGTTAGCTTTCTGGTTAGTTTTTCCAAAAAGTGGTCATTTATAATGTCTAAAATGCAATTTTGGCAACTCTCCTCATTGTGGCCCCCATTCAACCTGGCAGGATCTCCCTTTATCCTCTACTTTCTGCCTTCTTAGTCTCGTAGCACCCCCTCAATGTGGCTTATTTACCATCAGCACTGGTCAGAAAGTTCCCAGTACAGACACCATGCACTTTTCCAAACACAGCTTTATTCGTTCAGATGTTCTCCAATGATTCTAATTCCTTACCCAAGTGTCACTGATTTCCATCCTGTCCTTTTATCAGAATACAGTTTTCTTGCATCTGTTTTTAAAGTGAAGTGGGTGATCCCTAACTGTGTGATCTTCTACACATCCCAGCTTTGGTCTGTAGCAATCCACGGCACCCTGCTATCCATTGGATTACTCCAGCCTGGCAGCTCTGCAATGAGGAGATGAGCAATGAAGAAAAGGATCCAAATATGCAGAAATAGTGTAACTGTCCCTCTGCTCTCACAGGTTTTATTCATTCATACAACAAGAACCACATGGAGCTGTGTCAGGGGATGCTCAGGCTGGAGATCAGGGAAAGGCTCTTCCCCAGAGGTGCTGGCACTGCCCAGGCTCCCCAGGGGATGGGCACATCCCCAAACCTGCCAGAGCTCCAGGAGCATTGGGACAGCGCTGCCAGGGGTGCCCAGGGTGGGGCTGTTGGGGGGTCTGTGCAGGGATGGGGTTGGATTGCATGGTCCCAGTGGGTCCCTTCTAGCTCAGGATGTTCTGTAATTCTATGATTCTCTAATTTGTTCTGATAAATATATGAGCATAAATTAAAGAATGCTGCCAATTGGTACACATCAAGCACATTTTTGCAGCATTTTCTAAATATGGAAGCCAAGCTCACAGCTCTTATCTTAAACAAATGTAGGCAAATTAGGTTAGACCCTTGAACTCTTATGTGTACACTGATTAAATGCTTATACATTATATTTTTTCTAAATGAAGGACAAAAAAATAGATTGAGGTATCTAGGCAAAGCAATAATCTAAAATCTTAAATGTAATTAAATATATAGCTATTTAGGTTTATTCTGGTAGGGTGTTTATTTGAGCACTTAAGATATTTACTGTTTCAGCAGGTGAGAAGAACCCAAGGGCCAATAGTAGCTAGAGCTAAACAGGATCATGAACAGGAAAGATAGACTAGAACCAGAGAAAAGAACTGGTGTTATTGTCAGCCTGAAAGGGAGTCATGTGGCTGTTTGAGGTGCCTTAGAGGAGATTAAATTTTTCTGCTGAAAATGACAGATGGTCACGGTATGGTTGTGTGTCCTGCCATGGGCACAGAGAGGAAGGAGCCCAGTGTTTGCTACAGGGAGAAACTCAAGATCTGGGGTTGAAGTTGACACAGCAGATGAAACTGAAAAATGAGAGGTGAAAGTTTACAAGAGTACAAAAGCTTCCACACATGGCTTTAGGAGAAATGCAACTGAAGTACAGAAGTGTTTGGCAATGGACAGATAAAGTTACGTGGGTTTGAAGCTAAAGGAGTTCCAGGAAGCCTGGAATTTCTGTCAAAGAAAGGTGCCCATACTCACAGGTATCCATGGCCCAAGCAAGAGGAATGAGCTTTGAAGAGGGATTTTTAGATCTAGCTGGATGAGGACTCACCTCAGGAAAGAAATTCTAATGAAGCAGGAAGGGAGTGTGTCAGGAGTGGGAAGCACAGTGCATCAGCAAGGGGACTCCAGGGACACACGCAGCAATGCAGTGACATTGCCAGTGATGTACAGCCTGGCTGGGCACACCAAACAGGGAGGAGCAAGTCCTCGGGTGTGTAAATAAATAGTGAATCCAGGAGAAAGAGACAAGCTCTGCTGCTAGAAGGATGAATAAGAAATAGGAGATAACAGACATGGGTGCCCAATTAGTTGAATACATTACACTGGTTTTGATCAAAATGAAGATGAAAATAAAGGAATGGAAATTATTTCAAGTGTGTTGGGAGCAAGCTAAAAGAGCTTGCTGCAATAAAGGCAGGTTGTTGTTACCCTATCAAAGAAAATGTTACTTGAAATGAAAGGTCTTTTAATGAGTGTTATGTGGTAGATGCATTTAGCTATGAGCAAAAACAAAACACACAAGTTTGTGTTGACATATGAAAAGAAAAGAATGGCTTTGTGACAGCCCAAGTGACAGAAGAGCAATAAAAATAAGTTTGAGAAACCGTTGAAAGAAGCAAAAAATCTTTTGCTGCAGATTGGTATCTCGTGTGTTGGAAAGAGCTGGAGCAGGGAGGCTGAATGTGGAGATGCGGAGTCACCTTTCAAAGAGCTGAGGAAAGGCAAAGGGCACCGTGACCCCAAAGCAGAGCGGTACAGGGGCGCACAGGGAACTAATCCGGGTGTCGAAAGTGCTGCTGAGCCGATCTGTGGAATAGCGCGGGGCACATTCGGTCAGAGCCCGGAGCTGATGCTGCACCTCCATCTCCCGGCAGAGCGCTGAGCTGCACCGCTCCCGGACAGGGAAAGCAGGCAGGGAGGGATCCTGTCCTACAGCCATCCTCTCCCACACTCCTTCGTGACCTAGGGGATCTAGAACAGCTGTGGGCAGCAGTTTGCTATAGGAAAATATGTCAGGAAAGCCCTGACATTAGAAGCTCCTATGATCTTTTAGCATCCAGGGTGGGCTGCAGCAGGAGGAGCTCCAAAGCCCAGGTGGGTGTTGTGTTGTGTTGTGCCTCTTCCTGTCTGTATTAGATTTTTAACCTGTGAACTTCATCCAGTGCCTCGTTTTTATACCAGAAATCATTCCCTGGCTATGCCAGTCAGGGAAGAAAAGACCTTTATCAGTTTGTAGCGATGGGAATAGCCATGGCTGGCAAGACCACATTGTCCCATCCTGGAAACCTGTGCTGTGGCAAGGAGGGCTGTGCCACCAGGGGATTTGGATGATTCCTTCCAGGTCTTGTCATGACCCAGAGTGAGCAGGACCCCATTGGGTCAGCATGGGAAACTGGGACATAGGAATGCCCAAACTGGGGCAAGAGGCATCAGTGGAGCCAGGAAGTGCCCTGGGACAGATGCCTTTGACAATGTCAAACCATGAAATCTCCCCTGTCTGAACCACTGGGTTTCTTCAAAGAACTCTCAGGGCTTTCTGAGAGATAACATTCCTTTGCCAAAGCTGCCTTTCCTATTATCTCCTATTTCCTATATGGCCATTAATTGTATTCTTTAGAAGAGTCTCTACTAATTTGTGTATATACACAACTTATGTCTATCTGATTTGTAAGACTTAATTGTCTAGAACATTAAAAACATTATATCACATTAGCATCCTGCCACTCTCCTGATAGCCAGAGCCCTTTCAAGTGGGAGACAGCACAGCCTGGTTAGGAGCTAAGCTATTTAATCCTGGCATTCACTGGGTGCTCTTATGTTGATGATCCCTGCTCCTGCCCAGTCACTGATATTTCCTCTGTTGATGTTTTCTAATCTCATCTACAGAGATCTCTACAGGAGACTGATCCTCCCTTGTATTCTGTGTAAAGGGGGCTCAGGGCAGCCCAAACACCTGTACAATAAAGGGATGCAGAGGAATTACCTGAACACTCCTGTTGCACATGGGCCATGTGCCTCAAAAAGAGCATATTTCTTCTTTCCCCTTTTGTAATGTATGACCCAGCCTTTTTCAAAGATGGTCTCTCTGGGCTTTGGAGCTTCTCCTCTGTCATTTACCCATCCCAGGTAGTTTCTGCTTTGGCTTTTTCACCCTAATATCTCTATGAAGGGATGCATTTGCTTTGAGCCTCCAGCATGGTATTTCTGATTACTCTTCATGCCACCCACAAAGATATTTTTGGGTTTTTTACCACTTTTCCATTCTTATTTAATTTAGCTGGTATGATATGAAGCAGCAGAGTATTTTTTTCCATATTATGTTTCTGTTTGGGGTGTGATTGCTGAGTGTAAACATACCAAACACCAGTCTGACTTAAAACAACTGTAGAGTGCTCAGGGACTGGTCAGGAGGTGGGTTTCCTATAGAAATTCCCAAATAGCTTTCTTGTGAGCTAAACATTGATGAGGTCCCAAAACACAGTGCCAGTATCTTGTCCTGAAATGACATTTATTTGAGAATGTAATCCTCCATGACAATTGCTTTCCTGGAGCTCCTGTCATTTTACCCTGCTTTTCAGAATCAGTGTCTTGTTCTAGCAGCCAATAACACAGCCCTCAGCTGGTACTGCCACCTCTGAAAATTCTGGGTTTTTTGACACATTTAGTGTGCTGGTCTGGTCTGACTACAGCAAGAATACAAAATCAGCTGATGACTGAGATAAACAGGAGCCTGGGGATCCCACTCTGAAGAAGAACTTCCCTGCTTAATCAGGAAAAGGAAGATTAGGAGAATGTGGTTACAATCTGTGGCTATACTGGAGAAGAGCTAATTAGGTTACGGTTTGGGCACAAACAAGAGGTAGGATTAAAAGGATGAGGAAAATTTGCAGAGTCACAATTAATGGAAGTTTTTCCCCAGCTAGGGCCAAACCAGTTTGGTTTTAAGGTAGAATATGACAAGCTCCCAGAAAAGATCCCAAAACACTTAACTGTGAAGGCAGGGACTGGACTTGCTGAGCCACGACTTAGCTTCTATTGCATTTGGGAATCCCACAGCAATACTTATAGCAAACATCACCAGCCTGCCTGTCCTGAGGTATTCCTGTGGATTCTGGAAACCTCCACTCCTCAAGGCAGTTCCTCATTTCCTGCCTGCCCAAGCAGCTCCTACAAGCCCATCATGGATATCAGGACATGAGAACACAACGGGGGAGATGCTGGGGATTTACAAAAGATTTTCAATAGTACAGCCAGGATGAAAACAATCCCCCCTACTGGCTGGACAATGCCCTTACCTACAGATAGGTCCAAAAGTCAAATGGACTTTCTATCTCACCCCCCAGAATGTATGGTTCATCTCACACCTGTAACCCTCCCCTGAAACATCAGGTGTCTGTGACCCCATTGGCCCAAGTCTTGTTCCAGCCCACCTTGAACCCCCTGATAAGGGGTCTCTGAGGAGCCAGACGCTCTCTTGGAACTTTCACCCTCTCCTGGAGCATCCTCTTGTCTCCCTCTACCCCTTGTCTCTGCCCTCCCCCATTCCCTCAGGCCTTGCCACGTGCTGCGTCTGGCAGCTCCAAGCAGGACCTTTCACCCTCTATAATAAACCAAATATTCTCAGATCAGCCTTCAGAGATCTCTCGTCTCCATTCACCAAAGCCATCCTGGAGTCCAATATCCCCGCACTGCCAAAGCGAGGGAAGAGCAGGGACCCTGAGCAGAAATCAAGCAACCACTTTAGGGCTGTTCTTTTGTACTTATTGATGAGCACTTTTATCTCCATGAGCAATCTCCCACCTGCCTACTCAGAGAAAGTTGTAACAGCACAAATAGGGTAGCACTCCATCACTGGAATGTGAAAATCCATGCTAGGCATTTTGGCACTCTGTGAACTGAAGTTAACGTGTATTTTGTTTCTTTTCCTGTAGTTTCACTTGGCTTTGCAGCCAAGTCCACACTGGCCTGGTGACCCACTTCCGCGGGCAAATTGTTGCAGAGTTTGAGAAGGAATTCCGGTACTTGTACGCCGAGTCCAGAGCAGTGACCAGCTTCTGTGTGCCAGATCCAGGGACATGCCTCTCTTCTTGGAATACCTCAAAAGTTGACAACTGTCTTCTAAAACCCACTCAGGGGAATGATACTGAGACCCTGAGCCCCTCCAGCAGCCTTTCCAATGCGAGCATCAGGAGCATAAAAGTGTCTCCCTTTATGAAAAACTCCAGCTGCAGTGCACACCAGGAAAAGCAAGATTCCAGCTCTGATTCTGGCAATAAGAAGGGGAAGGAGGACACATTCCTGAAGCCCACTTGCCCTAAACAGCAAGAAGAACCACCAGACTCAGCAAACAGTCCTCCAAATAAACCCACCCCAGCCTTGTATCCCAAATCAAACCTCATAACAGCAAGGACATTCCTGCAACCAGAGCCTTCCTCCAATAAACCCAGTAACCAGGGGGACACTAAGGCCAACAGCAGCCACTGCTCCCCGCCGAGAGTGGGGCAGCTGCTGCAGTCCCTGTCAGAGGGCACCAGCAGCAATGGGTCCAGCCTGAAGCAGAGAGCACCTGTGGCCACCTCTGGGGAGCTGCCAGCTGAAAATGAGAATGTGTTTTATGGGGTGGAAAAGAGACAGAGCCCTGAACATGGCCATTTTGACCTTTTCTCCCCATACAACCACCTCAAACGGGATAAAAAGTCCGTAGTGCCTTGCTATGACAAGTTCCCAGAGGATGTGCTGCTGGAAAAGAACAGCGCGTACGGGGCGGAGAAGAGAATGACTCTGGGGCACAGCAAGCTGGACCTGATCACCAAGTACAACAAACTGAAATCCAAACACATACACAGTCGGTTTGAACTCTGACCTGGGCCTCGAGCTGGCCTCTGCTCTGATTTTTCAGGGGTTGCTGTTCCCTGCCAATCATCATGCCTGGGGCTTGGAATCAAAACATTAGTCTTGTTTCTGTTAAAAGGTGTTTAATCTATGTACATGACTGATTCAGATGAGATTAGCAACTGCAGCTCAAATTTTCAATTACATTATTGTGGCAGGAGGGAGAAAAGCACATAAATATAATTCACATTCCTTTTGCACGTTTGGGAAAGAACCATTTCCCCTTAAACTTACAGCAAAGCCATTGCTACACGTGGAAAATACCACTGAGGTCTTCAGGGTGAGCCCTGGTTCTCTCCATGCTGAGCAATTCCTCTCCCTGCAGCCATATGGTGCAAATGAAATGGGCAAAGGCAGGGGGATGTGAAAAATAAAGGAGTTGTTCTGCTGGAAAAAACTGTGTTGGGTCCTGGTGGAGGGGTGAGCACTGAGTGTGGCCAGCACCCCGCCGTGCTGAGCCGTGCCAGGGCAGGAGGGGACAGGGACATGTCTGGCACACGTTTGGCATCTGCAGACAGCTGACATTGTCACATCAGTGGTTGTCAGCACAGGGATGGGATGGGGGCTGCTCCGGGGGCACACCTGAGCACTGGTGGCAGCTGATACAGGTGCCTCTATACAGGAGCAGCCGGGTCGTGGGCGGCCTGCCAGCTGAGAGGTGACATCTCTGCTGTCCTACACCGCGATGGAGCGTGCAGGGGTGTCCAGGCACAGCTCTTTTGGGGACAGGGACAGTGACAGCACCTGGGGAGCACCAGGACATGAGCTGGGGCTGTACACAGATGGGGGGGCTCACAGTGGCCAGGGACAGCCATGGCACACCTGGGACTGGGACAGGGACAGAGCCAGCCATGGCACACCTGGCACCGGGACAGGGACAGGGACAGCCATGGCACACCTGGCACCGGGACAGGGACAGCCATGGCACACCTGGGACAGGGACAGGGACAGCCATGGCACACCTGGCACAAGGACAGGGACAGGGACAGCCATGGCACACCTGGGACTGGGACAGGGACAGCCATGGCACACCTGGGACTGGGACAGAGACAGGGACAGCCATGGCACACCTGGGACAGGGACAGGGAGAGCTATGGCACACCTGGCACAGGGACAAGGACAGGGACAGCCATGGCACACCTGGCACAAGGACAGGGACAGCCATGGCACACCTGGGACCGGGACAGGGACAGTGATGGACACCAGGGACAAGGACAGGGACAGCCATGGCACACCTGGGACAGGAACAGGGACAGCCATGGTACACCTGGGACAGGGACAGGGACAGGGACAGGGACAGCGACAGGGACAGGGACAGCCATGGCACACCTGGGACAGGGACAGGGACAGTGATGGACACGAGGGACAAGGACAGCGATGCCGCACCCGGGCCCGCGGCGGCCCCTCCAGGCTGTGGGGCCAGCCGGGCCAGCCTAGCCCGGGTGAGAGGCGGGGACGAGCGGTGTCCCACAGGGCCCGGGCTGGCCAGCGGTGCCCGGGGCGGTGCTGCCGCCACGGCCGGTCCCGCTCGGTCCCCCCGGGCCAGTCCCGGTCCCGCTCGGTGCCCCCGGGCCGGGGCGCTCTCCCCTCCCGCCGCTAGGGGCCGCTGTCCCCCACAAGGGCGGCCGGTGCCGCTCCGCCCCGCCGGAAGCGGAAGCGGCGCCGCCTCGTGGTTCCGGGGGAGGCGTTCGGAGCCGCCGCGGCCCATTCCCGTTCCCGTTCCTGTTCCCGATTCAGCTCCTTCCCAGCCCCGACCCCGCCCAGTTCCCGTTCTCAGCCCTGTCTTTTCCCGTTCCGGCTTCTTTCCCGGACGCAGCTCCGTTCCGTTCCCGTTCTCGGCCCCCTTCTCAGTCCCGTTGCCGGCTCCATTCCCGTTGCCATTTCCAGCCCCTTTCCCATTCCCGTTCCTGCCATGGCGGTCCGCGCCAGCTTCGAGAACAACAACGAGCTGGGCTGTTTCGCCAAGCTCACCAACGCCTATTGCCTCGTGGCCATCGGCGGCTCCGAGAACTTCTACAGGTGAGCGGGGCCCGCCCGGCACGGCCCGGCCCGGCCCGGCCCGGCCCGGCCCGCGGGGCCCTGACGCGGCGCTTTCTCCTTGCAGCGTGTTCGAGGGGGAGCTCTTCGGGACCATCCCGGTGGTTCACGCCTCCATCGCCGGGTGCCGCATCATCGGCAGGATGTGTGTGGGTACGTGACCGGAGGGAGCCGCACCGGGACGGGGAAAGGTCGGAGCCGCGCCGGGGCTGAGCCGGGCCGGGGAGCCCGTGGGGCAGCGCCCCTGGCGCTCCAGGGTTGGTTTAATGGCTCGAGTGTGTGAGGAGGAAGAAGGATGACCTCAAAAGCCTTTTCCAGCCTGGCTGATTCTGTGGAGGACGTAGGGAAACAGAGACTCGCCCAGGAGCGGGGTGGGGCAGTGTCGGCTCTCGGCGCCAGGGAAGCTCGGCTGCTCCTCGGTGCCCAGGGAGGGGGAGGCACTGCCGAATGGGAAAGTCAGGGAAAAGCCTTTCACGTGTCTCTTCCTGGTAAGACACCGTTAGGTCAGACCAGCTGCTTGCTTATTTGTTTCTTTAACCATCCAGTCGTGCTGCCACAGCCACACAACAGTAGCACTGGGCCTTTTGTAGGGCAGATGGCATCTGCACGGAGAGCTCCTTGTTAAGGGTCTCACTGAGAGCCTCGAGCCTCCTTTAGTCCTGTTGGAAGAGAGAAGGGGGTAAAGATAGTGCCCATACTGAGGGCAAACTGGTAGTGCCCATCTTTTCCTGAGGTGCTGGTTATTTTTACATCTCATTTCACAGTTGGTCTATCTGCTTTAATTATCTTTTTTCACTTCTCCCCTTTTGTTGGTTATTGGCAGCAGTTACACATTGGGTTATGGAATATTCTGTTGCAATGAGAGTCCTTTTTGTGAGAACTAACATCTGCCTCAGATTTCAGTGTCAGATCTTTTCTAACTGTTTAGTGCTCAGCTATGGCATGCATGGTTTTTTTTAAACAAATCTTATTTTAGAAGTTAAAATAGCAGTGACTTTGTCATCTTGGCTTTAGGCAGAATTCTGGGCTTGGAAGAAATGCACAGAGCAACAGCAGCTCAAGCCATGTGTGAACAGCAGGGAAGTGCTAACACACCCTGTGGAAACATTATTTTCATTCTGTTCTATTTCCTTTTGTGTTTTTAGGGAACAGGCACGGGCTGCTGGTCCCGAGCAGCACGACAGACCAGGAGCTGCAGCACATCCGCAACAGCCTCCCCGACTCTGTGCGCATCCAGCGCGTGGAGGAGCGGCTCTCGGCCCTGGGCAACGTCACCACCTGCAATGACTACGTGGCTCTGGTCCACCCAGATCTGGACAGGGTACAGGGCTCCAGGACACTTCCACATTCAGAGTGGGGCTGGGAAACGCTGCCCAGGCTGAGGCTGCAGCGGTGGTGAATGTGCTGGGGGGGAGTCCTGTGTAACATGGGACAGGACAAGGGGGAACAGCTCCCCACTGACAGAGGGGGCAGGGCTAGATGGGATATTGGAAAGAAACTCTTCCCTAACAAAAGCCCCGACACAGGTTGCCCAAGAAGCTGCAAGCCCCATCCCTGGGAGTGTCCAAGGCCAAGTTGGAGAGGCCTTGGAGCAACCTGGTCTGGTGGAAGGTGTCCTTGCCTGTGGCAGGGGATGGAATGAGAGGAGTTTTAAGGTCCTTCCAACCCAAAGCATTCTGTGAATCAGTGATCATTGGGTGCAGTTTGCTTTGGGTGCATAAAATTGGGTGAAGTAGAGTGTGCAGGGGTCTAATAAGGAGCGTAAGGAGGAGTGCAGTGAGGGCCACAGCAGGAGTTACAAGCTACATCTGAGTGAGCCAGAGCATGTTATAGCTGAAAGAGACCATGGATGTGCATCATTATAGGGGCCTGAAAGAAAAAAAGAGGGTTATTGTATGAGAGTTTAAAATAAGGGCAAAGGAGACAACATCACTCCTATTTTATGTCTGAGAACAGGTACCTTAACAGCATTGAGAGAGATGTGTTGTGTGGCTGCAGGCCCTGACAGTGTTTGCTTCCAGTTAGTGCTAAAGGTGATAAAGGAATCAGACTTGGTGGCAGGAGTGCAAAGGGAAAAATAAGGGAATGGGAGAAGGCTTTGCACTATATGTTTTAAAAAAGTGTAAAAAGTAAAGGAAGATGGCCAGAGAGAGAGAAATGAAAATAATTCACAGTGAAATCTGGAGAGGAAGAAGGTTGTTAGAGTTATGAGGAGCATAAGACAATTTTGTCCCAGTGGTTTGGGAGGGAAGAGGACTGGTTTGCTGAGAATTGATACAAGCAATGTCCTGCCAACAGAGAGGGGGATTTGGGCATTTCTCAGCAGAGGCATGAGGTGTTTATAGTGACACAGGAAGCTGGGAACATGTGGATGTGGAGCTTGGCTGTGTGTGTTATCGTGGCTAGGTTGCAATGGGCTGTGCAGTATGGGAGGCTCCCAGCTGAGGGCTGTGTGCAGGAACAGCTTGACTTCCCACTCCACAGTACGTTTGGGTGAAGACTTTATCCTCCTTCCATTTGCAGGAGACAGAAGAGATCCTGGCAGATGTGCTGAAGGTGGAGGTGTTCAGACAAACAGTAGCAGACCAGGTGCTGGTTGGAAGTTACTGTGTTTTTAGTAACCAAGGAGGAATTGTGCACCCCAAAACGTCAATCGATGACCAGGATGAGCTGTCTTCTTTGCTGCAGGTCCCACTTGTGGTAAGGCATTTGTGGAGTGTTTGCTCCTCCCTCCCAACTCAGGGGCAATGTTTCTCCAACTCAGGGGTTCCCAGATACTGTTTTTCTGTGAAGTGATTTTGAATGGAAGGTGAGGAGAAGACTTGAACCAAGTTTTCCAGACAGTTTCCTGTCTTTCCTGAGTCTGAATAAGCTGCTCAGTGGTTTTATTTGCCTTCTGAAATGTTGCTCTGCTGGGATTGTGCACATTGTTCAGATACAGAATGTGAGGCTGTTTGTAGTTTGACTGAAGCCAGTGTTCAAAAAGATTAAGTAAGAAACTCCTGTGCCTGCTCAGCTGGATGTGTTAATGCTGTTATTTTTCCTGCTTATTGGATTCTCTGTCACTGAATGCCACACCAGTTTCTCAGCAGAGAGTAAAGGCTGTTCATTAATCATTTTATCTGACACCTTCAGAGTGTCAGATGGTGGCTGGTTGTGGGAATCCAGGGCTTCCCTCTGGCTGCCCTGGCAGGTCTGGGACCCTGGCTGGGGTCAGGAACCCCCCTGTACAGAGCCCCGAGAGACACTGTCTGTGATCTCTGTCCATGGAGAGGAGTTTTCAATCTTACAGGATGAATTACAAGCTTTGAGTGTTTGATAAGAATAATAATTAAGTGTGGCACAGGTGCAAAAGTAAAA